GAAGAAGAAGAAGAAGAAGAAGAAGAAGAAGAAGAAGAAGAAGAAGAAGACAGAAAAAAAGAAAGAAAGAAAAAAGAGAGAGAAGGAGAAGGAAGAGGAGGAGGAAGATGAAGAGGAGAAAAAGAAGTAGCAGAAGTAGTTTCCCATACATGCTTTGCTACCCACTCCCTCCTAGGCCTCTGAGGGTCCACACCAGGGGATATTACCTGAAGGACTCGGTCAAACGGTTTGAGGCCACAGTGATCAGCAGGCCCACCAGGGCGGATCATGTTGACATAGACACCTTTCTCCAACAGGCCATCAGAGACGCTGAAGCCGAAATCTTCACTTACTGGGTCCTTCCAAAGAGTCAACTACAAGGAAGGCGAGAGTGGCAACACAGGGGTCAATAGGAGGACCTGGAGGAATGCTTCAAGGAAAGAGGGGCAATAATTTCGAGTTTCTCTCCTGGATCGCACTGAATAAAAAAATATCATCTTCCCCTTCCTGTTCAAAAGCTTTCAATGACCCCAGTCTCCCATGGAATAAAGTCAAGTTTCCTGTACTTTCTTGTCTGGCCTCAATTTCAGTGCCCAATCTTATATCCTGTTATTCCCCAATAAGAATTTTCTGTTCCAGCATTGAAAATATGCATTGAAAGTGCATATTTTTATCCCTACAAGTTGGTTCATGTAACCCTCATGCCAGAAACTCCCTTGGTTACATGTTAGGGACTTCTTCCTTATGTGGCTTATTATCCCTATGTAGTTGTCATTCAGTCATTTTTTCCAGTTGTGTTTGACTCTTCATGACCCCATTTGGGTTTTTTTTTTATCAATGATAGTGGAGTAGTTTGGCATTTTTTTTCCCCAGCTCATTTTTCAGATGAGGAAACTGAGGCAAACAGGGTTAAGTGACTTGTCCAGGGTCACACAGCTAATAAATGTCTTGAGGCCAGATTTGAACTCAGGAAGATGAGTCTTCTTGACTTCAGGCCCAGCACTCTATCCATTGTGTCACCTACTTCCCATCATTAGATTATCTGGCAATTTCAGAATCTAGCACCAGAAGCTTGCCTTTTGCTGTTCTCTCTCACAGATGTGGGTGTAGTCAGTCATTGCTGGACACAAGTACCTCTATCCATTGCTCTTTTATAGTTCTCTAGTCCTAGTAGGTGATGACCTTTCCACCATCACTACTATCTACTGTAATTCCTGCTTTCTGGTACTCCATTCTCACTCTCCTTTGCTGATCTCTGCAGCTCAGCTCTCCTCCAGTAGATAGCGTGTATCCCTTTTCTTAGGGGACCAGCTCTCTAATCCCAGCTATATAGGGAAAAACCTCTAAGTATTTTTTATAGTTCAAAAAAATCCTTGATGTTCCAAAACCTTCTTTTGTACATGGCCCCGGATCTCATGCAATAAGCTTATTGGAAGGGGAGACAGGGAGGAATTGGGAGCTTTTCTATTTTGTACTGTTCAAGGGTCCTCAATTTCAGAGATATTTTGTCTAGAATGCTCCATCTTCAAACCCATGAAAGCTTATGGTAAATCAGCCATTTACTTATTCTCTTCCCAAGCACTTGGGTGGGGTAGCTCTGTTCACCTAAGTGCCCTCCAGTCTGATCTTTCCCCCAGCCACCCTCCTCTAGCTCTTCCTCAAAGCAGCTGGGTTTGATCATTCGCATTGTCCATAGCTGCCTCTAGAAGAAGTAGGCTGACACCAATGGATCATAGAACTAGACTATGCTTTATAATCTAGGAAACTGAGAGCCAGAGAGGTCAAATGACTTGCCCATTTCAGCATTAGAAGTGAAATTTGAACCCAGGTATTCTGGCTTCAGAGCCAGAGAGAGTGGCAGGATTTACTACCATTTGCTACATTTTCTCCCTAGTCAAAATAGTGTGGTCCTTACAAATTACACTGGGGAGAGGGAATCAGCATTTATTAAATGACTATGCTGTGCCAGGCACTGTGCTAAGTGCTTCAAAAATATCTTATTTGATCTTTACAACAACTCTGTTAGATAGGGGCTATTAATATTCCCATTTTACAGCAGAGGAAACTGAGGTAGCATGCCCAAGGTCACGAAACTAGTACGTGTCAGACTGGAAAAGTAAAGTTTGTATTGGCCTGATTCCAGCTATTTGCCATTCATGGATCATAAATGGTAAAGTTACACATAGGTGACTTTCCAGATGCTGTTATTATTGGGCTGTTCTGTCCTGAAGGCAACATGCTGCCCTGAACCAACAAATAACTGCATGCTACATGGATCATCATCCTTTCCTCCAGGCCATTACTCATCAGCCTGGCCACTGGCCAGATAGTCCAGGCCCCTTGGTTATGGCTCATCACCATTTCTGAATCCTTGGTCTTCAATCTGCTGTTGAAGAGGAAGGAGCTGTCCTCCAGCATGCAGTTCTGGGCCTGTTGACAATTGAGGTTGAATGTTTCGATCTCCTGTCCCCACAGCTCCATATGTGACCTCCGTCCCATTGGGACCTCCAATCAAGAATGAATGAACACACATAAAGAAGACTGCCTCTGGGTTTAGCTGTTCTCCCCTGATGATGAAAAGTTGAGTTCATCTAGGTGGCCTTTCACATTCTCCTACAGTACATCCAAACTCAATTTACTTTTCATATAAATCTTGAATTGTATTATATCCAGGGCCCAGTTTTTTGACTCTGCCTGTACTCTGTTTTTTTTTTGTCCGAGTCTAATTCCCCTATAGATAACAAGTTGCTTTGAGGTATCATCTTTGTAGGAGTCCTTTCCATACACTAGAACCATGGCAATCCAATCTTTTAATTATTTGATTCAGGGTGGCTTTCCATCAGTTCACTGGCTTGTGTTTTCCAGAGATGTCAAGCTTTCATAGCAGGACACTATTTCCAGGGTTGGAGTTATACCTCTGTTTCTCTCTGAGCCTTTTTGGGCTAAGTCCACAACAAGGCGGTAAGCCTCTCTCAACTGGTCCTTCAACTGGCTCACACACTGCTATAGTTCTCCAGACCTTCTCCTCCCTCCAAAATCACAGGTCAATGTGCAGCCAAGATTCTTGCCCAAATATCAACCTGTAAAGAGTAAAGTCGGTGGCATCTTTCCTAGTGGTATTAGAAATGCCAGATGATGACTTTACTGAGACCTTGGTTCAGGCTCTAGTGTCCCCAGTATGTTTAGTAGGGTATAATTAAACCCCTGTGCCTTGAAGATGGAGAAAAGGGAAAAGCACAAGTATTTATTAAATGCCTACTATGTGCCTGGCAGCAAGGTGATGCAGCAGATGGAGTGTCAGGCCTGGAGTCAGGAAGACTCATCTTCCTGAGTTCCAATCTGGCCTCAGACACTTAGTAGCTGTGGGACCCTGGACAAGTCATTTAACCCTGTTTGTCTCAGCTTTCTTGTATGTAAAATGAGCCAGGGAAGGAAATGGCAAACCACTCCACTATCTTTGCCAAGAAAATCCCAAATAGGGTCACAAAGGATTGGACATGACTGAAACGACTGAAAAACAACAGATGTGCCTGGCACTGTGCTAAGTGCGTTTTATAAATATCGTCTCATTTGATCCTTACAATAATGCTGGGAGACGGCAGCAAGGTGCAGCAGTGGATAGAGCACCGGCCCTGGAGTCAGGAGGCCCTGAGTTCAAATCCGGCCTCAGAACTAAACACTTACTAGCTGTGTGACCCTGGGCAACTCACTTAACCCCATTGCCTAGCCAAAAAAAAAAAAATAATAACAATACTGGTACATAGATGCCATTATTATCCCCATTTTACAGTTGAGGAAACTAAGGGAGACAGAGATTAAATTACATGCCCAGGGTCACACAGCTGGGCACACACAAGTGCCTGAGGCTTCTTGACTCCATGCCCAGGGCTCTATCCTTTACACTACTTGATGCCTCTAAAAGTTGAATATCTGTAACACATAAAGATACAATGTTCACACACAAGATCAAAAGCAATTTCTGAGGAGCTAAATGCATCAATGACAGAGACAGGCAATTCTCTAAAGAAGAAATCCAAACTATATTTTCATATATTTTTAATAGTCATATTTTTTTAGGCAATTGGGTTAATAGCCATATTTTGAAAAATTATGTAAATCACTAACAATTAGAGAAATGAAAATTAAATCAACTCTGGGGTTCCACACTTTACTCTCAACATATTGGCAAAAGTTATAAGAGAGGAAAATAACAATTGATAGTGGGATTGTGAGAGAATTGGCACAGATGCACTGTTGATGGAGCTATGAATTTGTTCCACCATCTTAGAAAACAAATAGGAACTATACCTCCAGTTTCTAAGCTGTGCTTACCCTTTTACCCAGTAAAGGACCCATATGTGCAAGGATATTTATAACAGCTTTTTTTGTTGTAGCTAAGAACAGGGAACAAAACAGGTCCTCATCATTTGGAGAATAACTAAATGAATTGTGCTATATAAATGTAATGGGATATTATAACATCATAAAAAATGACAAATATGATGGATTTTGGGAAACATAGGAAGACTTGTATGTACTGACTCAAAGTGAAATGGGGAGAGCCAGGTAAACAATGTACGTGATGACAACAGCCATAACATGAAGAAAAACAACATTGAAAGAGCTCAGAACTCTGATCCAAGCCATAAGCAATGGTGACTTCAAATGGTGACTTTGCAACTATTGATGAGTTAGACCTCCCATTGCTTGACAGAGAGTTAAAGGAATCGAGATGCAGAGTGAGATCTTTATTCTCAGACACGGCTATTGTGTTGAACTGTTTTCCTGGATTATACAAATTTACTACAAAGAGAGACTTCTTACTTGGGGGGAATAGATAATAAAAGAGCATTCATAAAACTTTTCTAAATGCACAGAAAAGAGTTGGAGAAGGAAATGGCAAACCCACTCCAGTATCTTTGCCAAGAAAACCCCAAATGGGGCCATGAAAAGTAGAACACAACTAAAAACAACTGAACAACAAAACAAGTTAATAACAAAAAAAGAAAACTAATAACAAAGAAGGAGAAGCAATGACAGATTTGCTGGAACATGTCTTTTCTGTCTGCCCCTTCATGTGAGCTTTTTTGGTACCATTCTCAGAAGAGGTTTCCATGCCCCCTGACCCTGAACTTCCTTGGTCCTTAAGCGTGGCTGTAACTGGACGACAATCTAAAGGACAATGGTCATGACTCACACATGTTCAATGATACCTGCTTTGTCTTGGTCAACCTCAGTTTTGGGCTTGCTTATCTACACCTTAGTGGATCACTCAGGGCTCAACTGTGCTGAATCCCATGGCTTTTAACAACCCTCTGACTGTATATACCCTAACTGTGGTGTTGTAGAAAGATTAACAAATATAAATCACAGGAACTGGGTCCAAATTCAAGCCTTGCTCTTTGCAACTTGCATGACCTTGGGCAGGTCATTTTGTTTCTTCTGGCCTCAGTTTACCTATCTGTAGAATAAGAGGATTGGCTCATATGACCTCTAATTTCCCTTTTCCACTTTTGAATCTATACTCCTAACCAGGTAGATTTTGGGGGAGCTGTTACCCATCTTTAGCCAGTCACAGCTGCTGTAATAACAACATGTGTATTTGTCTTGAGCAGGTGGGCCAGCCACCACACCTTTGATCACTGCTTTCTTCAACGTTTTCTCTAGTCTTTGTACAAAAGTGAAGACCTTCTCACCCTTCTCTTGGGAAGTAGTAAGAAATTTATCATGAATGTCTCCAGGGCTCTCTGTCCCCCCTGAATAGGTACTGGGAAATACTAGAGTACAATTCTAGCAGGTCTTCCTTATAGCACAACAGACATCAAAGGTAGGTGGTTCCCTGAGGCTTTCAAACAGGTACCTCAGTTTTTTCTAGATACAGTACAAATCCATTTTGTAAGCTCTCTGTAGCGGTGTTCTAGTCATGGTCCAAAGTCTTCCCTAGCCAGCCAAGTGTATAGGACAGACTAAAGGCAACTTTGTTCAGGAAGGGGTCCTTTTTAGTTTCAAAGTGTGCCTCATGGACTCTTCCAGTCTCTCAACCCATTCCCCTGGGGACACCAAATCACTGACCAAAGAAGAAGGAAGTCTCACACCTCAGTGGTCCCGTCCCATTCTGCATGACCATCCTTTCTTCTTCGTGAAAGATCTCATTATTGGTCTTTCACCAAGAGTTGGGGCTGGTAATCAGCTTCCAGATCTCCCCTTCCCCACATGTACTTACTCTATTTGCTTAGGGACCTGGGAGGACTCTACTTAGGTAAGGCAGCAGCTGCATTGGCTTCCCTTCCTCAGCATGTTACACCCACCCCAAAAGTCCAAAGAGTATTTCTAAAGGTAATCTAGTCCCAAACCCCTCCCCCATATCAATAGAGAAATATCATCTCCTAGTGAGCAGCTATCATGGCTCACTCCTCATCCTCCAGTACAATTAAGTTTAATGGTCCTTAGGTTTGTCTTCCTTGTTGTTTGCAGGTGGTGCAGCGCTGGTACCCCTTATGCAGCAATTAAATCCTGGAAGATCCTCCTTCCTTTCCTCCCCCTCCCAAATAGAACCTTTGTATCAGAGTCTCCTTCCTGATGTGAAGAACCTGGATACACTTTGGGATGATGTGGAAACTTCAATATCTTTTAGCGTCCAATCCTAGACACCAGGTGCCCCTTATAAGCACATGGGCTCATAAGGCTGGGGACATAGTTTTATTCATAAGCTAATAAATATAATAAAGACAGGCAGTTATGTCTATAGAAAATAGAATTATTTCCCTCTTTCCTTTAGGCCCCAGGTCATTCCTTTCCCACCTAGGTCAGCATTCCCTGTTGGGATTTAGAGTTTGGCAAAATCCCTTCTCTAATTTTCCCCCTGCCCCCGCATGATAGCTGAGATGGGTCTAGAAAGGAGGAGAAATGGTGCCATGTTCTTCAGTTGTGGTGCTTGGATGCTGTTACGCTCATATCCCACCCCCTCACAAGAATATTTGTCACCTGTCCAAATCCTACCCAACCTTTAATGCTCACTCAAACCCTTCTTCCTCTAGGAAGCCTTCTTGAACTGTGCTAGCCTGTGAGATTTAAACCTGGAAGGGGCCTTAGAGATTAAAAACAACTTTATATCATACGTGAAGGTCTGCAGAGTACTTTGTATATGTCTCATCTGATCACCTAGTCCAGCTCACTCATTTTACAGACAAGGAAACTGAGGCCCATGAAGTTAAATGACTTGCCCAGGAAGCATATGGGAGGCTGGGATTTGAACTCAGTTCTTTTCATGGCAAATCCATTTCTCTCATCATTACACTATGACTATTCTTCGTTCTCCTATAAGACTTACTGTCTCATTTGTCATTTGTCATAAGTGTGTGCTAATGTTCTCTGTTTCACATGAGTAAGGCCTATTTCTCCAACCAGGCTGGAGGTACCCTCAAGATAAAGAACCGTGCTTTATATTTCTCTGTCTCTAGAACTGGGAAAAGCACATGGGAAGGTCCAGAGTTACAGAATCTCAGAGACGGACAAAGCTTCAGAGGCCACCTAACCTAACTCATACCTGAGCAAGAAGCCCCTCTCTGACATACCTAACAAGAGACCACTTTCACTTTCATTCAAACTGCCTGAAGACCTCCAGAAACAAGGACCCCTGTCACTCCTGAGGCAGCCATTTCCCTCTTGGATCATCTTAATTTTAGGAAGGTTTTCATCATAGCAAGTCTACATTTCTGCCACTTTTACCCACTGATCCTGATTCTGCCCTCTAGAGCCAAGCAGAAGTTGGTCTAATACCCTATTCCATATCACTGCCTTCCATGTACTTGAAGATAGCTATCACGCTTTCCGCTTCTCTTCCTTGGGCTAAGTTCTCTCACTTTCTTTGGGTGATTCTCATATGACATGATTAGGGGGCCCTTCACCATCCTGGAGGCCCTCCTCTCATGGCTCACCAACTCAACAATCTCCTTCCTATAATATTATTCCTTGAAGAGGAAACAATACTTTAGAGATGGTTTGACCAGGACAGCGTACAGTATAGTATAGCGTATAGGACGATCCCCTCCCTAGATATGGGTGCCATGGCTCATTTCAGCTTTATATTAGGCAGTACTTTTTTTTGGCCTCCATATGAAGCTAGTAGGTGATGCAGTGGATGGAGTATTGACCCTGGTGTTAGGAAGGCCTGAGTTCAAATTGAACCTTAAACACTGAACTGTGTGAACCTGGGCAAGTCAACCTCTGTTTTCCTCAGTTTCCCCAACACTAAAATGTGGATAATAATAGCACTTAATAAATGCTTTTTTTCCATCTCAAATGTGGATAATAATAACACTTAATGAATGCTCTTCCCCTTCTCCTTGACTCATGCTGAAATTACAGTCAACTAAAATTCCAAGGTCTTTTTCAGATGAACTCCTATCTAATCATACCTCTTTCAATTCGTATTTGGGATATTGAGTTTTTTTAAACACCAGTGTAGGACTTTACATTTATTCCTATTAAATTTTATCTTATTAGATTTGGCCTTGTGTTCTAGTCTACTGAGATTGGTTCAGACCCTGACTCTGTCATCCAATGTGTTAGCCTCCTCTTCTATCTTAGGGGCCATTGGCTGTTTTACTTGGTGGTAGTGATTTCTTAATTCCCACCCCATTCTATCCTCATCTCTTTTTTCACTCTTCAGAGCATTCCATAGAAGACCTGGTTGGAGTTTAAACTCAGATAACAACAACAGCAACTAATAATAATAATAATAATAATAATAGTAACAGCTAGCATTAGTATAGCACTTTAAGGTTTGCAAAGTGCTTCACAATTATCTCATTTGACCATCACAACAAGTCTTGGAGGTAGGTGTTATTATTATTCCAATTTTACAGATGAGGAAACTGAGGCAGACTGAGGTTAAATGACTTGCCCAGGGTCACACAGCTAGGACGTATCTGATTTGAACTCGGGTCTCCCTAATCCCAGGTCCAGCGGTCTACCTATTGTGTCACCTCAGTAGCTGATGACTCTGTACCAGGACCAGATACTCACTTTGTATAATTCGAGAGGAGTCGGTGACATGATTTCCAGCATCTCCTCCTTGACTGTCTGCATTTTCAAGCCTTCCTCAGCTGTCTTGGTAGGGCCCACATGGCCCTCACTTGGATCCTGGTTCCTCTGCTGGAAGGTTTGTTTCCACCAGGGGCTTTGTCCAGTTGACCCTGATGATGGGTCCAAGGTCATAGGGCTGCTGTCTAGACCCAGGCTGTGCACATTCCCTGTCATGATGGAAGCCTGTAGAGAGGAAGAGAATTACGCAAGTGATATTGGAATAGTGTAAATGGCTGCACTGGGATAGACCCAGAAAGGGCAAAATACATCTGAGGACTAGGCAGGAATGGGAAGGTGGGGTTCTTTGGATAAAACGAGGGATCCTTAATAGGTAGAGTACAAGGTTAAGGTCCTTGTGCTGGACACTCAACATACTCAACAGTTGTGTGACCTTAGGCAAATCACCTTTCTAGGAGTCAATTTCTACTTCTGTAAAATTATGGGGTTGGACTAAATGATATCCATTCCTGCTCCCCCATTCTGTGTTTGAAGTCCTAGATAAGGAGGACAAATTCAGACATATTTACACTAGAAATTCTGGTGGACCAGGATTCAGACCTGGTCTAATAAATACTCAGAGTATTTGGTACTGAGTGTTGTGCTTGAGCGACCACTAGGAAAGCCCCTCTGCCCAATGAGCCCTGTCTCTGAGTGCCTGCCACATTCTGCCACTAGAGTTTCATTCATTTAGGTCTTTCAGGATTTTCACCCCATAAGTAAGGGAATGATGAAATTATGATGTGGTGGAAAGACCAATGGACTGGGCACAGGGACACCTGGGATTGAATTCTGGTTCTGTTTCTTACTACATAGGAGACCTTGGACAACAACAATCACAATAACTAGCATTTATATAGTCTTTTAAGGGTTGTAAAGCATATCACACATGCTACCTTACTTGATCCCTGTGACAACCCTGTGAAGTAGGTGCTGTTGTTATCCCCTTTTTACAGATAAAAAAAACCGAGTCACAGAGAATTTAAATGACTTGCCCAGCATCACACAGCTAGTGAGTGTCTGAGGAAAGATTTGAACCCAGGTCCTCCTGATTCAAAGTCCCATGCTCTAACCATTGGGCAACCTGGCTGTCACTTAGATTCTGTTTGCTCATCTCTAGGATAAAGGATTAGACTAGATATTCCCAAAGGTCCCTTCCAGTTTCAATAATCTGTGAATTCAAAATGTAGCTATACCCCTGAAGAAGGGCTCTTTAAACTATTGTCACTATTTAACCTTCCTTGGCAAGTCAAGGGCCTCAGGGAATGAGAGTCTGGATGGGACATAGGGGAGTCCAAGGGTGCCTCATCTCCCCTTCTCTTGGCCACAAGTAGGGTCCCAGAGGAGTTGATAATGTGACTTGCAGTAGCCTAGAGAAGATGATTCACAGATCTCATCTAAGCCTTGGCGCCATTCTGCCATGTGGCTTTTTGAGCCTCAGCATAGCCTCCATCCCCAAATAACCCTGATGAGCTAGTGCCCAGAGGGCTACAGCCTGGGCAGGAGCCTCAGGCTGAATTGCTGTGAAGCTAGTTCTCACCATGAGATGCATCATGGCTTAGTGAATAGAGAACTGGTCTTAGATCCAAGAAGTTACCTGAGTTGGCCCCCACCTCTGACACATTCTGATTCTTTGACCTTGGACATGGACAATAAGCAGTAGGGAAGATGCCGCCTCACATTGGTAGAGAAGAGTTTCGCCATCTGGGAGTTCTTTATACAAAGGGAATCATAGGTCTAGTCTCTATTGCTATCCTGTTCTCATCCAAATCCTAGCCATCTGCCATGACCCACCTGACATCCCCCCCTCCCCCTCGAAACATTCTCTGACTACTCCAGCCTACACTGCTGTCCCTCATCTTTGAACTCCTATTGCTATGTAGTGTGCCTAACACACTTAACTGGCCTCTAATACATGTGTTGGAGCAGCTAGGTGGTACAGTAGATAGAGCACTGGGCTTGGAGTCAGGAAAACTCATCTTTGTGAGTTCAAATCTGGCCTCAGACACTTACTAGCTGTGTGACCCTGGCCAACTCATGTAACTCTGTTTGCCTCAGTTTTGTAAAGTGGGCTGGGGAAGGAAATGACATGCCAGTCTAGCATTTCTGCCAAGAAAACCCTAAATGGGGTCATGAAGAGTCAGACATGACTGAAACGACTGAACAACAACAATAAATATGTGTTATTTCCCCAAGTAGAATATAATAATAATAATTCTCATTTATGCATAGTCTTAAGGTTACAAGCCTCTTTATCCTTAACAACTTTATAAAGCAGTAGTAAAAATATAATCCCTATTTTTCAGATGAGGAAACTGAGGTTCTTAGAGGCTAAGTGATTTGCCCAGGATCACACATCTGGTAAATGAGAGGCTGTACTTGAACTCAGTCTTCCTGACTCCAGGTCCAGCACTCTATTCACTGAGCCCAGTCCTCAGTCTTGAAACTCACTTTTTCCTTGGCTTCCATGTCACTTCCTTCCCTCTTGGTTCTCTTCCTACACTAATGACCACTCCTCTGTTTTCTTTAACATCTCATCTTCTACTTATCCCCTAAATGTGGGTGCTCCTTCAAAGTTACACTAACATTCTGCTCTTCTCTCTCTTGACATGCTTTCTTTTGAAAACATTCTCTATTTTCATGCTTTCAACATTCTCCATTGGCAGATGGTTCCAAATCTGGGTCTCTGATCCTGTCCATCAGCCTTGTATTTCCAACTTTCTTTTGGGGCATCTCCTCTTGGATGACTTGTAGTCACCTCAAACTCAACATAACCCAACGCAAAATCACCAACTTATCCCAGAAATGAAATTTATTACCTTACCCCCTTTTAGCTGTCATGGGTCTGTCATGTATCACCACCCCCATTATGCAAACTGTACATGTTGATCTTTAACTTGATATGGAGGATGAAGGAAGATTCTGTCACCACAACCATTGGTAATTGCCCTCAGGACCAATTTAAAATTCCCTCCTCCCAAAAATATAGTGTCATTGATTTATAGTCATACCTTTCTTGGACCAAAATTAGGATTCCCCAACTGGACCCTCTACCTTAGTCACAAGATTTAGCCCTGAATGAATTTGGGTCTCTGAAAAAAATAAATCCACTCTCTAAGGGCCAAGATTTGTTACCACTGGATTATAAGGATCATAAGATTTAGAACTGGTAAGGACCTTGGAGATCAGCTATTTCAGCACGCTCATTTTATACATGCATCACAACTGATGTCCGGAGATGTGGAGAGATTTGCTGAAAATCATACAGGACGTAAGTCAGAGGTAGGAATCAAACCTAGATCCTCCAATCCCAAAGCCAGCTCATTAGCCACTCTACCACACTGTAGCCTTTGAAGGTTCTGAGAGGTTGCCCCATAACAGGAGTTCCTTCTGTGCCTCAAGCATGGTCAGTCTATGGATTACTTCCCAAGGGTCATGACATTTGGGAGAAAACCTAAGTTCTGATATGTCCATATAAAATTTAGCAGATCAAATTACTTCTACCTAAAGTGTATTTGTGGTATGAATGTGTTTACTCTTTAGTTTTATGGATCTCTGAAGAGGAATATTACACACACACACACACACACACACACACACACACACGTGTGCACACACACACACATATACATACATGTCCACCATCTTAGGTTTTAAAAGTGGAAATGACTTATCCTGAGAGATCATCTAAGCCAGAATTCCTCATTTCACAGAGAACAAAACTGGGGCCCAAACAGGTTAAGTACAGAAGTGGACTGTGTATGGAAACACACAATTTGAATCCAGTCTTTGCCTTTTACTACCTATGAGACCTGGAGGCAAGTCATAAACTCCTTGGGCTGCAGATACCTCATCTATAAAATGAGGGGGTTGGATTAGAGGGCCACTGAGGTTTTTTCTTGTTTTAAATCCTACGATTCTCAGTGTGTGTGTGTGTGTGCGTGTGTGTGTGTGTGTGTGTGTGTGTGTGTGTAATACTGATCCCCCAGGACAAACCCATAGTGTTAGATTGGATGACCTCCTAAAGTACCTTCTAACTCTGTGTCTGTGATCCAATGATCCTAAGATCCAATGTCCCACAGGTAGCTAGGATGCAAATCCAGGTCTTCTGGGTTCCAGTTCCAATCTTCTTTCTTTTTTACCATTTTATCTTATTTTTATTCATTTATTTGTTGGTATTATATATTGGTTATATTTATTTATTGGTGTCAACAAATACCAAATAAAATGAATACTTCCAAGACAGAAGGAGAGGACTGTATATGAAATTGTGAATCTGTCATATATTGCTTGTCTTTCTTTTGAGAATGTTATTCCATACCACCTCATGCTTATCTCTCTTACACAATTGAAATAGCTTTCCTGAGGTTCACCAATAACATCTTAATCACCAGATGCATTGCATGACCATTTCTTCATCCTCATCTCCAGAGGTTCTTAAGATACTAGATGTAGAGCAAGAAGGGACCTCAGATACAAATTTCCCTGACTTTTCTGCCATATAAAACATCCAACATACAACTTTCAAAGCTGTCCTGCTTATCTGTGCTCCCTTCCACCATCCTTTCCAGTATTCTTTCCATGGCGCTGTGCAGTACCTACTTGCCTGTGATGTGTACTAACCTATCAAATCTTCCCCAGAGGCCTCAGGTTGATCAAGAGCCCATCACCTTTCAGCCCTCTAATGCCAACCACTGAAGGCATTGACTTACCTCAATCTCCCTCAGAAGCTCAGACTGGCCGCATGTTTCCAAGTCCTCCAGAGCTTCTCCAAAAACACGCCAAAAATTATCCTCGTGAGCGGGCTCCGGGCCATTGTGGCGGCCGGGGAATCTGTTGTAACGTAGGAACCAAAGATTGTCAGCGCTTGTTCTTCTCGGGGAGGACGGAAGCCAGAAAGCCTAGCTCGCGGGGACCGCCAGCAAAGCAGAGACTTGAGGAGTCTTCATATACAAAAGCAAACAACATGAACTTTTCATCAGGCAAGGGAGTCCCAAATACAAAACCTTCATGCATTTACTACCAGGGCAACCAGCCCCTTCAGAGGATGCCTGAAGTTGGTGTAGCAATGTCAAGTTCGAGAGGGAAAAAAAAAAAACAAAAATATGCCTGAAGGAACACTGGAGGTTTGGGAAGACGTTTTTTGGTGAAATAGAGAAGTGAAAAGGAAAAAAAATGATGCATTATGGGTGAACCAGGAGCTTCAGAGACTGGTTAGTACAAGGGCGGATGAGACAGGGCTGAGAGCTGAGACACAGAACACCTGAGAAGAGAGAGAGAAAAACACAGAGGATACAGACAGGGTGAGAAAAAATGGCAACTACATAGTAAGTCTCCAGCAACTCAATAACAGAAAGGATGTAATAGAAAATGGTGGCCTTTGACCAGACACACAAATTCTGAGTGTTTCAATAAAATGTATTCACAATGTGATTTAGACTTATAGAATGTCAAGGCTGGAAGGAGCCTTAGAACACAGGATGTCAGAGCTGAAAGGGGCCTCAGAACATAGAACATCAGAACTGGAAGGGACGTTAGAACATAAAATGTCAGAGCTGGAAGGGGCCTTAGAACATAGAATACCAGAGCTTTAAGGGGCTTTAGAATATAGGTCAAAACTGGATAGGGCCTCAGAACACAGACTATTATAATTGGGAGGGACCCTAGAGCATATGATATCAATTCTAGAAGTAAACTTAGAATCCAGAACAGTAGAACATAGAATGTTGGAGCCAGAAGGAACTTTAGAAATCATTTAGTCTAGCGTCTTCATTTCATAGAGGACTAAACATGCATTTCCCCCAGAAAGGAGTGATGATTTGGTCAAAGTCATGTTTTTGGTGAAGTCAAGGCTAAGACCCAGGTTTCTTAATTCCCAGTCCATCCCTCTTTCTACTACACCTTGCAAATACACATGGAAATGTAAACATTGTCATTCAGACTGTCATAGAGTAAGGGGCTATTGGTCTTGGGGATGTGCCACATGGTTATACTGTCTACAAGGTGGGTAAAAAAAGAGTTGATTAGCTGTGTGACCCTGGGCAAGTCACTTAACCCCAATTGTCTAAAAAAAATATCAGAAATATTCTTGAGATTTTATTGTTTGAAAAATGAAGGATATGGCTGAAGACATGAAAGCAATGGAGTCATGAACTTGAAACTGAACTATAATATGTGTTTCATGGTTCCATGATAATTATGTCTGAGGTATCCATGAGTAGGATGAAGAGGATGACAAAGTAGACCACTGAAGGCCTACTTTGATGCCCAGAACAGGGACTAGTAATTTTAGTCCCTGGGACAAACAGTACTAAAATTGCCTGGGACAAATATACTCTGAAATTAATTTTAAAAGAGAAATTCCTTTGAAGAGGGTGGTGGGACATCATCACAAGGTAGAGAGATAGAGACCCAAAGACCTCCAGGGTAGAGAGTATGGGACACTATGAGTGAGATCAGGAAGCAGCTCACATTGGGTGTGGGCAGGGTATCATTGCCATGGGCAGCTTTCTGTTTTAACTGATTAACAGTGCCTCCTATATTTGGCATCCTATTGCAAAGTCCTGTTTGCCCCACCCTAGTTAAAGCTCTGTTGGTACATCTTGTGGCAGGGAGTTCTCAATGGGACATCAACTCTACCAGACCCTACTGAGCTAGAATAGTTTTTAATATGAACTCAGCTTGGGACCAGCCTCACTAAACACATTCTTCTCATCAGAAAGCTAGCCATCAGACCATGAATTACTCTGGTCATGCTCACTCATTAAGACCACACATACCCAGGATATGACTTACATTGGTGAAGGTGTCCTCATGCTGATGAAATCATGACTCTTTTGGAACACTGAAATATCCCTAAAGTGTTCCAGGGTAAAGCACATGTGTGCCAGACTGAATGTTCTCTGAGATTCTAACTAGGAGGTGATGGAAAATATTTTAAACATTGGCTTCTTTAAGACACATGCTTCAATATTCTTACAAAAGATTGGTTACTAAAGTGTGTATCCATTTTATTGAAACACCCTGTACATTTCGAATTCTATCTACAGTCAACAATAATATGTACCTATTAATTAAATTCCCTGACTGAGTTGTCAGTAAGGAGAATGTGAAACCAGTTATGAGGAATTTTCCTTATGTCTCATTTTTAGTCTCCTTGTTAAAAACAAAGGTGCCCCTTTATTCAACCCTGGGTTGTGTGCATTTTTCTCTAGGGGCACCAAGGGCAGAAGGTAAAGTTTGATGCTTTGAGGTCAAAGCATTCTACAACCCTCTGAAATAGCTGGGGAAATAGGAAGGACTCCTTTTAAGCCAAAGATCTCATTCTTGAGAAGATACCCATTAGGGACCTATCCACCGAAGTAGAAAAACAAACAAGCTGAAAAACAACTATGAGAAAGGAATCGTCTTCTGTGACCCATACATACTCCTGTAAGAAGCTGCTGAAGGAGCTTTCTTGGTTGAGGTGATCATAGGGACTTCTCTTTCCCTCTCTGGTGCTAAACCCTGAGTCAGACTTCATTTCCGTAAGCTCTGCTCACACACATACTCTTTGTTCATTCTGAAAGTTGCCAGGAGCTAGTCCTTCCTTGGGGTAACAGCTGGGACTCATCAGATACCTAAAGGACACCAGAGGGTCCTAGCAACTTCCATTCTTAAGTCTCTGGTCCCAAGTTTCTGGAAGAGAAACAACTTAGACCGGAGAAGCCAAAAACCAATCCCTTAGTGAAATAACATCTGGTTTGTGTTTGGCTATGGCTTTCACACAGCTCTGAGGAATCACTGGCCAGGGCACTGCAGTGATCCAAAGGTCCTGGACTCATAATGGGCACATAGTTCTCTTCTCTTAAAGTGTGTGTGTAGGGGGTACAGGGTGGGAAACTTAGGGGATACATAGACTCATTATCATCATCATCATCATGGCTAAGGACCAGACTTTGGCTCAAGTTAACTGAATTAATGACATTTGCACAATGTTTTACAAAGTTTACAAAGCATTTGCCTTTCAGTAAGGGTGGTGAGGGTAAAGAAGGAAGAGAAAGCAGGATGGATAGTGCAAGTGTTTTATAGAGAAGGGAAACTGAGGTTTGAGAGATGATCACAGTCTCAGAATGTGCTGGAAGGGGCCTTAGAACAGGGGATGTCAGAGCTGAAAGGGATCTTAGAACAGGGAGTATCAGAGTTGGAAGGCACCTTAGAACCCAAAATGTCAGAACTGGGAGGGGCCTTAGAGGGGAAGTGTCAGGGCTGGGAGGGGCCCAAGAGCCCATCTAGTCTAATTTTCTCCTAAAATATGGAATAATTAAGGTCCTGTTGTTACCAACAGCCATTGGTTTGTTTATATGTTCACCTCCCCAGGTAATCCCAGTTATCACTCCCTTCTTAGCAAATAATAATAGGTTTGAATGGCACAGAGATGGTGAAGGATAGCTGGGATTTCTTTTGGAGCAGGGGCTGGTGAGGGGAGGGAGGTAATCTCTCTCATTCTTTTCATCAGGAGGCAGGCTCAGGGTCTTACTGAAATGAACAGTTCTCCTTTGTCAGAGCTCTAGACAGAAAGCTAATGACCAAATGGGATAAAAGGGGATAGGTTTGCACTGAGCCATCCTCACTCTCCTGCTCACTTGTGCCTTGTGACTCAGAGGAGAGGGCTGTAAGGAAGAGGGGCTGTAGTCCCACTGCCCAGGGTATCCTCTGTCTCCAAGCGAGGCCAGACCTGTCCTTGGAGAACTAGAGCAAATCAAGCTAGGTTCTTTCCTGGTCTCCCAAGAGTCTGGGAATAGACTCAGAGTGAAGGAGGAAGTCTCCACGATTTGAACCATCATTCCTGACTCTCTTTTTGCCCTAGAGCAGAATTCCTTTGTTTGTTTTGTATCAGAAAGCCCTTTAATTATAACTAGCACCTACTATGAAAGGCAGGTAGAGAGTGCAGTAGGTAGAGCCCTGGACCTGGAGTCTGGAAGACTTGAGTTAAAATCCTGCTTCAGACACTAGCTGTGTGACCCTGGGCAAGTCACTTAACCACTGTTTGCCTCAGTTTCCTCAATTGTAAAGTGGAAAGAGAAGTCCCTGTTCCCTGCTCCCAAGCAGAGCCCCAAGGTCCTAGACCACATTTGTCCCAAAGCGAGTCCCCAGGCTAACTGAATAGACTTTTCTATAAATGGGAGCACATGACTAAGGGACCTTACCCTTAACAGACAAGAATAAAAGGAGACAAAATGACAGAGAGACAGAATCCTGGGGCTGAGTTGTTGGTGGAAGGAAAGGAAAGGACCGGGAGATGATCTGCCAAGTGACTGGCCCCTACTGCTCTCAGAACGGGGAGGAGAGAGAACCTTTCCACTGGAGGTCCTGGAGGGAGCCAGTCGGATCTTGGCTCCCTCCCTTCCCTACTCCTTGTCGTGATTTTTCTTGGGGAACAGCTTTTTAATTCAGCCAAACTCAACAGCTGCACACATCTATTTTCCTTAGAGTAGTGGTTCTTAGCTTGGGGTCTATGAGCCTCTTTTTTAAAGTTCTTTTTTTTTAAAAAATCAATTATTTCATTTATTTATAATAGTTAATAGTTTTTTTCATGGAAAACATATTTCCATGATGAACTTTTTTTAAAAAAAATTTTGACAACTGTATTTCAATGTAATTGGCTTCCTTTGCAAGCCTATGTATTTTATTTCATGCATTTAAAAACATTATTCTGAGAAGGTTTCTGTAGTTCGGGGCAGACTGCCAAAGAACAGCTAGATGGCGCAGCGCATAGAGCTCTGGGTCTGGAGTTGGGGAGACCTGAATTCAGAGGTGGTCTCACATAGTTGTATGACCCAAGGAAAGTCACCAACCTATTTGCCTCAGTTTCCTTATCTGTAAAATGGAGATAGCTTTCAGAGTTGTTGTAAGGCTCAAATGAGATAATACTTGTAAAGCACCTTGCAAACCTTACATTGCTATATAGGTGCTAATAATAGTGAGCAAGTATTTATGCAATGTTTTAAAAATAAAAACAATAGCTAACATTTCTGTAGCACTTGCTATGCGCCAGGCACTATGCTAAGCTCTTCACAATTATTATCTCATTTGATTCTCACAACAACCCCAGGAGGTGCTATTATTATCCCCACTTTACAATTGAGGAAACCGAGGCAAACAGTGGTTAAGTGACTTGCCCAGGGTCACACAGCTAGTGTCTGAAGCAGGATTTTAACTCAAGTCTTCCAGACTCCAGGTCTAGGGCTCTACCTACTGCACTCTCTACCTGCCTTTCATAGTAGGTGCTAGTTATAATTAAAGGGCTTTTTGATACAAAACAAAGGAATTCTGCTCTAGGGCAAAAAGAGAGTCGGGAATGATGGTTCAAATCGTGGAGACTTCCTCCTTCAGTCTGAGTCTATTCCCAGACTCTTAGGAGACCAGGAAAGAACCTAGCTTGATTTGCTCTAGTTCTCCAAGGACAGGTCTGGCCTCGCTTGGAGACAGAGGATACCCTGGGCAGTGGGACTACAGCCCCTCTTCCTTACAGCCCTCCCCTCTGAGTCACAAGGCACAAGTGAGCAGGAGAGTGAGGATGGCTCAGTGCAAACCTATCCCCTTTACTGGCAAAACGTCCTCGTGGCAGTGGATTGGCCTGCCAAGGACGATAGCACTTCATTCCTGGGTTCTGTTGGAGAAGTGATGGCTGACTGGGAAAAGGGGGATGTGATACTAGAGTTTCCAGGTCTAGACAGTCAAGCCCTTGGGAAGCAGGAAGGGAAAGGGAAGAGGGAGAAAGGGAAGAGGGAACAGAGCCAGGTGACATCCTGCCGCCCAAGTGGTCAAGTTCCCTGCTGGAGGCTTTGGCCCATCTACACATAGGAGCACGGGGCTTAGAGTTGAATAGGACCTTAGCTCTTTAATGCAAAAGAAAGAAACCTGTGTTCTTCCTCTTTACCCACCCTCCCTCTGTCCTTATCCTAAGCACGCTCAAGAGAGTAAATGTTGATTTTCACCCTCCCTCTGTCTCATCCCCTACAGACCTAGTGGGCTTGTCCCATTCATCCTCAGGGAAGCTCCCGTCCGGGTAGGGGTAGCTGGTCTTTCTGGGCTCCCCAGGAGGGGGGCTGCTCTTCACCCTACTGGGCCGCCACTCCTGGGGGTGCAGGCTGATTCCTGCAGCTGGAGGTACATACGTGCCTGTGGATCGAGCAGAGAAAGAAAAGGCCAACAGCTCACGAGGCCTCTGGGATAGGGGAGTCAGAGAAACTCAGGAAACCATCTTTATTTTTTATGGGCCACCTTCTCCTCCCCATCCCCCACCTCCTACCAGACTGTCCCCAGGAAACACTGGACCCATTCCCAATGTGAGGCCTTTATCCTTGTCATTCTGATTTTCACCCACACGCTCTGCTGTGTTTTCTCCACTGGTCCACTCTGCGCTCATCTAGGGAGCCTTCCCTGACCACCCCAGCCCACAGGAATCTATCCCTCTGCTAGTTTCCTACAGTACTGTGGGAAACTGATACCACGTGACGTAGCACTTGATGACAGGTCAAGCATTCAATCATTGTCTCATGTGATAATAACAATAATTATGCCCATAGAGCATTATGGTTTACAAAATGCACCTGTCAGTTTACTAGTCTTTACATACAACCCTCCATCTCTCATGGCTGTCTCTGATGTCCCTGTCTCTGACTCTTAGAAATATGTGTGTGTGTGTATATATATGTATATATGTATGTGTGTATGTATATATATAAATGCACAATATACATGCAATATATGTGTATGTGTATATTTACATATAAGTAATATATGTGTAAATATACAGATATACACAATATATAGATATATATATGTATATATAGTATGTATATATATACATGTATGTATGTGTGTGTGTGTGTGTGTGTGTGTGTATTTGGTCTTCTCCATCAGTGCTTGGTATATAGTAGTGGCTTAACAATTGCTTGTTGTTTGATTACTTTCCTAGCAAAAATTCTCTAATTATTATCATCCTTTATTATTATCCTCATTTTTTTTGTTTGGGCAATTGGGGTTAAGTAACTTGCCCAGGGTCACACAGCTGGTATTATGTGTCTGAGGACGGATTTGAACTCAGGTCCTCCTGAATCCAGGGCTGGTGCTCTACCCACTGTGCCACCTAGCTGCCCCCTATTATCTTCATTTTCAAACAAAGAAAGCTATTTGTTGGGGAGCGCACACATCTCTAACAAGTCATGCAACAGGGCCACAATTTGGACTTTGGTCTTCTGACACATGTAGCTTAGCCTTGTCTCCTCAACTAGAATTCTTCAATTTGATCTAATATAAATTCATCAAGCACTTATTATGTGTAATAGAGCACTGTGCTAGGGTCTCGGATAGAAATTAATCAATCCCTGCCCCTCAAGCAGCTTACATTCTAACTGAGGTGTGAGTGTATGCGTGTGTAGGGGGGAAGGAGATATAACACATCTGTGGATAAACAAATATAAAATGCATATAGGCAGCTAGGTTCTGATTAATATGAATAATGAATCCTATGACATGGTCATCTTTTTTGAATTTTCATTAAATATTTCTATGGGGCTAGAATCAATTACCATATTTTACATATAATTTTACTGCAACTAGTGCAAATTAGAATAATGCCACCACTTCATTATTCACACTGGGATGAATAGTTGGGCTCCCCTGTAATTTCAGGAGGGAAAGAGCACTAATAGTTAGAGATCTAGAAGGTCTTCATGGATAGGCAACTAGGTAGTACAGTGGATAGTGTGCAGGGCCTGGAATAGAAAGACTTACCTTCCTGAGTTCAAATCTGACCTCAGATACTTACTAGCTGTATAACCCTGGGCAAGTCACTTAGCCCTGTTTGCCTCAGTTTCCTCATCTGTAAAATGAGTTGGAGGAGGAAATGGCAAACCACTCCAGTATCTTTGCCAAGAAAACCTCAGATGGGGTCATGAAAAGTTGGACACGACTGAAATGACTGAACAACAACAAAGAGGCTCCTGGAGCAGGTATGAGTTGAGTTGAGCTAAGCTTTGAAGGAAAATTCTTAAAGATGGAGGCAAAGGAGCACATTATAGACATGGTGGGGCACCTGCACAAAGGGATGGAGGTGGAAGACAGACTGCTAGCTTTGGGTGATGGTTAGTGGGCCAAACATGCTAAAGAATTCACAAAGGGAGGTAGTATGAAATTAGTGTGGAAAGGCAGGTAGAACCAAAGTTGTAGAAGGCTTTAAGTGGCCACCCTAAGGCTTTATCTTAGCAGCAATAAGGAGCTAATGACAATTTTAAACAAGCAAGCGTAATGGTTAGATGTGTGTCTTGGGAAGAGTATTTTGATAGCAGTGTAGATGACCAATTGGAGAGTGCTGGCCTGGAAGCTAGAAGACCAAACAGGAGGCTAATGCAATAGGTCAGGCAAGAGGTCTCAAGGGCCTGAATTAGGGCAGTGATCATGAGTATGGGGAGAAGGGAATGGATGTAAAAGTCAGAATCAATAGGACTCAATAACTAAATAGGTGTAGGCGTAAGAGGGAAGGAGGAATCAAGGATAACTCTGAGATTATGAACCCAAGTACCTGGAAGGGTGGAGGGACTTTGAAAAGGTAGAAGAGTTTACAGAATAGTGACATATAGAAGGGAAAAGAATGACTTCTGTTTTGGACATGCCAAATCTGAGATACCAATGGGACAACCAAGGAGAGATGTTGAGCAGGCAGTAAATGATGTAGGACAGCTCAAGACAGAAATTAAGGCAGGAGCTATAGATTTGAGAGTCATTTGCTTAGAGATGACAATTGGACCCCCAAAAGCTGATAAGATAACCAAGAGAGAAAATGTAGACAAAGAAGAGAAAGGACCTGGGGGAAAAGCTTTGGAGGCCACCTATGCTTGATGGCAAGAGGGGGATGCTGACACACAGAAAAGTTTGAGAAGACATAGTCAGAGAAGTGGGAAAACCAGGAGAGAACAGTGTCATGCACTCCAAGGAAGTAGAGAATACCCAGGAGGAAAGAGTGGTCAATAATGTCAAAAGCTGCACAGAGCTCAGGTAGAATGGGGACTGAGAGGATGTCACTGAATTTATCTGTTAAGGGATTTCTGTACCCTTGGAGAGAAAAATGTCTTTAGGATGGAAATTTGGGAAGTCAGATTACAAGGAGAGAGAGAGAGACTAGGAGTAGGAAGAAATGGAGTTAACAAGTATGGATGCCTCTTTCCAAGTTTGACTGTGAAAGGAAGAAGAGATGGAGATCAATAGATTGAAGGGATAGCAGGGTCCAGTGAAGGATGGGGAAGGTCTATCTATGTCTGTGGGAAGCAGGAAAAAACCAATGGATACAAATATATTAAACATGGGAGGCAGACAGACAGACAAACAGAGAAAAACAGAGAGACAAAGAAAGAGAGAGCGAGAAGAGATCAAGAAGGCACATGTATGGAAGCTGACTTTGGCTTCTTCCTCAGAGAATGAAGCAAAGATCAAGAGGATGAGGAATAATATAGAAATGATTTGAGCGAGGTGAAGAATAGGACGAGGAGGCAACTCATGATTGATAGCCTCATTTTCTCAGCAGGAGAAAGGATGAATTAGTTTTAGTTCAGGACTGATGGAGGTTGGATAATATTTGCAACGGGCCCATTTGGCATGGTTGTGTGACTTTTTTCTATTGTGCTCAGCATTCAAGTAGAAGTAGAGTAGATGCACCGTGATGGTAGCCCAGGGCAGATTTTAACTAGGCATGAGCAATGGTAGGTCAAGAAGCAAGGAATTCATAGGTGGAGGGTATGAGCTAGTCAACTATAAGGTCAAGATTGTGAATGGTGGAAAGTGAATCCAGAGGAAGGGCAACAGACTGGAAGAATAAGGAGGAGAGGAAGGATTGGAGATCACAGTGAGAGTGAAAAATAGATTTAGGAGGAATGAGGCAGAGGGAGAGATAAAGGATAAGGGATTATGATTACAGAAGATAATTGCGAGATTCTGGGTTATGGGTTGGGCTAGCTATAGGAGAGGGGGCTAACCAACATGTGACCATCCCAATGACTAGCTGAAGAACAGAGACTTAGGCCCTGGGACCTGAGAAGGTGGATGAAATGGGAGACCCAAACATTCAAGGTGACATCAATGTATATATTTAAGTCCCCAAACATAAGGGCAGGGGCTAGGATGGAGAGGAATGCTGTGAGTTAGGTACGGAATTTCTTGAGAATAAAAGGGATAATGACCTGGACACTATTAAGTGACTGAAACAAAAGACTCAGGCTTGATGATAGATAGTAACGGATGAGGACCACCTTAAAGGAGACATTACTGAATGAGGGGGGCAAGGAGATAACATTAAAGTGGCAGTGAGGAGCAAGGAATACCCCTCCTTCTCCTCCTCCTGGCTTAGAGGGTTGGGGAGAACAGGAAGAGAAGACTCTTTGGGGCACTGGAGATGGTAGGTAGGGATTCAGTATCTTTCATGGGGAGACTTCTTGCATAAAGATGAAAAGAATGTGATATGAAGAGATCTAGGATGAAGGAGAGTTAGTCATCACTGGTGGTAGTGGGGCTGGGGATGGCTCCGGGTCTGAGGAAGCCAGGTTGTCTAGCAAATGGAGTGCTGGACCTGGAGTCAGGAAGACCTGAGTGTAAATCCTGTCTCAGACACTCCTAGCTATGTGAACTCTGGGTAAGCCATTTAATTTCTCTGGGCTTCCCATTTCTTCATCTATAAAATGAGTGAGTTGGATTCAATGGTCTTTAAGGTACCTTTCAGCTTTCAATCTAGGGTCCTTGAGCTACAATGGAATGGTAAGATGGAGGCAGATTAGAGGGATATAGTTGAGGTAGATAGAAATGAAAGGATGGGTAGGGAGGAGAGGGAGTGAAAAATAGAGTCCAGAATATTAGAGCTAGATGAGCCCTTTGAATGTAGAACACGAGAATGGAAAAGAACTTACATCATAGAATCACAGTACCATGCCACCTGGAAGGGACTAGAGAGATGTAGTCTAACCTTCCCGGTTTACAGATGACAAAAGTTAGGGCCAGAGAAGGGACGCTACTTGTACGATGATGAATGAACAGCCATACTTGGACTAGAACCCAACCTCCAAAGGTAGGCTTTCCATGGTACCACACTGCCTCCTGGAGGAACCCCTCCTTCAGGGAGACGAGAGGAAAGGGAATCTATTCCCTGGCAGGGTTTCCTTTACAGACAGAAGGAAATTATAGCTCCTGGGAACAGACCAGGAAGGAGCCAATCCTCTGAAGGGGGTCTGGAAAATGCCTGGAAAGCAGTGAGAACCAGGGAGGTGGCGACATTCCCTCAAAGAAACTACAGAGGGGCTATTTGCAGAGCTGTCTGCAGAGGAAATCAGCCAACTCCCTCAGCCCAGGCTGAGCCTCCTCAGAGCCCCCCATTTCAGAGAAATTTCTGCAGCTCTTCCCAGAATTAAAAAAAAACCCAGAGGAAAGCATCGCACACACTGCCATGCCTTCTCCGCGGAGCGACAGGAAGAGGTCAGGCAGCATTTGATTACAAGCTCTTGACCTTCCTGGGAAAGGCTAAGCTAATAGCCCAGTGGTAGAAATGCCTGTGGACAATGCCATTCTTTGAAAATGTCAAGGTCTCCTTTCTGCTCCCTCCCTGCCTGGGGCCTAGGCAGCCTCTCCAATGTTTCAAATGTTAAGGAGTCCATCAGACACTCGGGAAGGGGGCCAGGCGCCCTGAAACCAGATGGGATCAGTACCAGGCCTGGGAGGAAGGCCAAACCACTTTTCTCAGTCTTCCTCTTTAGAAGGAGAAATCCACAGAGGCTCTCGGGACGCAGGAGGAGGAGGGGTGTTGCAAATCACAGGGGTGAGGGTTAGGGGGTAGTGTGGGGGTGGAATTCATGCATTTCTTTCCAAGATCTCAAACTCAGTTGAAAGTGTTGAGAGGAAAGGAAGGTGGTCTAGGAATAATAATGATTATTTTTATGCATACATTTCTATCTGAGTGTTCAAACTTAGCTGAAGGGGGTTGAGAAGACAGGAGACCAGTGAGGACCAAAGTGGTATAGGAATAATCACAATGATGATCATTATTATTATTAACAGTATGTGTCTCCCCTCTGACACGTAACTGCTTATGTGGCCTCTGACTCACACTGACTGAATGAGCCTGGACACAGCCTCATAACCTCCCAGCGCTCTAGGCAACTCTAAGACAGCAGTAACCTGTCTTACCTGGGGGCTATGGACAAGGTATCAGGAAATCAATAGCAAAGGTGGTCTATGAACTTGGATAGGAAAAAATATTTCATTTCTGTTTTTTACTAGCCTCTAACTGAAATTTAGCATTTCATGTATTTTATTTTATACATTAAAAAACGTTATTCTGAGGAATCCATAGGCTTCCCCAGATGGCCAAAGGAGTCCATGAACCACCCCACCAAGGTTCAGAACCCCTGCTCTAAGACTTGCAGTTGCATTGAAGGCAAGGACCTCTATGAGTAGAAAGAGGTCCCCCCTCCCCAGTGTCAATAAAATCCTGTCTCTCCCCCACCCCGACCCTTCATTTTACAGATGAGGAGCCCCAGTGGGACTCAGGGAAGAGAAATGAGTCAATGATTTGCCCAGGGTCACCCATTCATATTGCTCATCAACCTGGTCAATGGGCTTTTATGAAGCATTTCCTAGGTCAGTGCCAGGCATGGTGCTGTAAGTGCTGGAGAGACAACAAAGGGTAGAACCAGCTCCTGCCCTCTAGGAGTTCACTTTTTTTTTTTTAAATTTTTAGGCAGTTGGGGTTAAGTGACTTGCCCGGGGTCACACAGCTAGAAAGTGTCAAGTGTTTGGTCTGAGGCTGGATTTGAACTCAGGTCCTCCTGACTTCAGGGCCAGTGCTCTATCCACTACACCACCTAGCTAGGAGTTCGCTTTTTAGTGGGGAGACAACGGCCTGATTTCCAGATGAGGAATCCTCGGAGGTCCAGAGAGTTTGAGGGATTTGCCCGAGGTCACGAAGGTAGCAATGATCCAGGCTGAGACTTGACCCACAAGTCCTTTGACTCTAAATCCAAAGCAATGTTCTTCCTCTTACATCACAATGTATTGGGATATATGTTTTTGAAGGTAACTAGCTGAGGTGACACAGTGGATAGAGCACTGGGCCTACGGTCAGGAAGACCTGAGTTCAAATCCAATGCCTCAGGCATTCACTAGCTGTGTGACCCTGGGCAAGTCACTTCACCCTGTTTGTCTCAGTTTCCTCATCTGTAAAATGAGAAAGAAATGGCAGAGCACTCTAGTATCTTTGCCAAGAAAACCCCAAAAGGGGTCACAGAGAGGTAGACAAGACTGAACAACAACGAAGCAGTCCCTGAAAAGTCTAGGATTTCAGAAGATCATCAGTTTAGACTGGAAAGGGATCTTGGAGTCCAATCCCTTCATTTTCCAGAGGAGGAAAAAGAGACCCAGAGAGGTTCAATTCAATTCAACATTTATTAAGCGCCTATTGTGCGCCAGGCGCTGTGTTAAGTGACACCTACCAAGTATTTGAGGTAGGATTAGAACCCAAGCCTTCCAGAGGCCAAGAACAGTGCTCTATCTGCTATAATCTAGGAAGATCATTTACTAAGGGGCAGAGAGATCACAATCAGACTCCAGGGAGAGAATGTTCCCAAGGTGAAATCATGGATTTCTGGTCACAATAAACAATAACAATGACAGAACGCCTTCACACTTGCATGGTTATTTCATGGCTCTCAGAAGTCTTTCCCATCCTTAATAACCTTGCAGTTCTGGGAAGGAGACACCATTGTCTTCATTTTAAGGTACTATGGCCAGAAGAAGGGAAGTAACTTGACCCAAGTGATCTAATGATGGTGGACAGAATGGACAGCCAGATGGTGGGGTCTGAATCCAGGTTAGTGTTCTTTCGTCCGCGCTGATGAACAGATGAACAACTCTCACTACTACCAGTCTCAGCCGGTGCCTGGGCAGAGCTAAGGCTTATGCTAGAATTCCACGAGAGGCCCAAAGGCTCTATGAACATGAAAGGGATCTGAGGAATCATTTTGACCAACTCATTTCACAGATGAGGAAACTGAGGCCTTGGAAGTCTCAGTGATTTGTCTAAGTTCACAAAAGTAGTGATCACAAAATTAGATGGGATTTGAACTCTGGTCCTCCTCCTCTAGAGTCGCTCCTTACTTTGCCACGCACAGTGCTGCCTGAAACTAGAACCCATGTCAATATTCTTTCCACTATACTATACTGCCAACTGTTTACCACTGCATTTCTAGGAAGTGGTTAGAAAATTCTGTTAATGCCTCTTGGAACTCATGAAAAACTCTAAAGGTCTGACAATCTCACTTGCACTGTAGTCAGTATTTCTGCTTGGGCGCATCAGTACCCCAAAAGTGACATAATCCTATCCTTATGCCTTCCACTCTTTAAACTCCCTCCCTTCCCCGCTCTCCCACAAGGAGGCAATTTTAACATGAGACAAAAGGAAAAGGTCTCAAGTGTTATTGCAGCCCAGGTTAGGGGAGGAGGGGGAGCCAGCACCCACTCAGGCACCCCAACTCAAGTAGCTTTACCTTGGCTCCCATAGCCACCCTCTGCCCCCGATCCATCCCATGATTCCATGGCGCTATCAATGCTGGGCACTGTGGTGGCGTAGATCTCAGCCAGCTTGCCAGGCTTCTGCGCCTCACTGAGATCTTCCTCTGTGTCACTGGCTTCATTCAGCCCCCCTGACTTCTTCGGGTAGGAGCCTCCTGAAAATGAGAGAACAAGTTGGTGCTGCTGGGATTCGGGGACTAACAAGGACTATCTCTGGGACAAAAGAGATCTCCCAGCCTCCCCAACTCCTACCAAATGCAATAAAAATAAAGAGAAG